ATGTCTATTCAACATCAACGCTTCTTTCTTTCTATCTATCTATCTATCTATCTATCTATCTATCTATCTATCTCAGTCTGTTCATATCTATCTATCTATCTATCTATAATCTGTTTATATCTATCTGTCTCAGTCTGTTCATATCTATCTATCTATCTCAGTCAGTTCATATCTAAGTTTGTTCATATCTATCTATCTATCTATAGTCTGTTTATATCTATTTCAGTCTGTTCATATCTATCTATCTATGTATTCTATTTATCTATCTATCTCAGTCTGTTCATATCTAAGTTTATTCATATCTGTCTATCTCTGTTCATATCTATCTATCTATCTATCTATCTATCTATCTATCTATCTATAGTCTGTTTATATCTATCTATCTCAGTCTGTTCATATCTATGTATGTATGTATGTATGTATGTATGTATCTATCTATCTATCTCAATCTGTTCATATCTGTTTGTTCATATCTATCTCTGTTCATATATATCTATCTATCTATCTATCTATATATATATATATATATATATATATATATATATAGTCTGTTTATATCTATCTATCTCAGCCTGTTCATATTCATCTATGCATCTATCTATCTATCTATCTATCTCAGTTTGTTCATATCTATATATCTCAGTCTATTCATATCTATCTATCTGACTATATCAGTCTGTTCATTATCTATCTTAATCTGCTCATTATCTATCTATCTATCTATCTATCTATCTCAGTCTGTTCATATCTATCTGTCTATCTTTTTCATGTGCGTCTGGTGTAACATTTATCAGTAAAGAAAATGAAATCAGCAAACTGAGTTCGAATTACGACCGAGGCTTTTGTCTTCACTTCCGCTGAGGCCTTTTCAAAAGCATGAATCCATCTTTTGCTAACGCTATGGACAAAATGGTAAAGTCTTAAGCTTTTGTTTTGGCGACCAGTCTTGGAGACAGACAAATGTGAATTTAAACTATGAAGGAGACAACTAAAAACTACTTCACTATCATTATCCTCTGAAGATAAATAAATTAAAACACGCGACAAAATCTCAAAATTTTAAACCGTTTTGGTAAGAATCTGATATTAATTTTTAACATCATTGTGCTGTCGGGTGTTGTTCTCTCTCTCTCTCTCTCTCTCTCTCTCTCTCTCTCTCTCTCTCTCTCTCTCTCTCTCTCTCTCTCTCATTCTCTCTCTATTTCTCTCTCTCATTCTCTCTCTCTCTCTCTCTCTCATTCTCTCTCTCATTCTCTCATTCTCTCTCTCTCTCTCTCTAATTCTCTCTCATTCTCTCTCTCTCATTCTCTCTCTCTCTCTCTCTCATTCTCTCTCTCTCTCTCTCTCTCTCTCTCTCTCTCTCTCTCTATTTCTCATTCCTCATTTTCGCTGGTTTGTTGACCAACTCGTAACTCCTCTTCTGTCTTTTTTCTCTTTCACTTAACTTTTTCCTTTTCTTTTTCGCTTCTACTTTCACTTTCTCTCTTTCTGATACTTCCCCTTTTTCTCTTTCTCTTTCCCTCTCACTTTCATTCTTTTCTCTTCTACTCCCACCTTCCCTCTTTCTGATGCTTCCTCTCTTTCTCTTTCTCTCTGACTGACTTTATTTTTCTTTTCGTTCTTATCTTCTACTCCCACTTTACCTCTTTCTGATAATTCCTCGCCATTCTTTTTTGTTTTTTGTTTAGTTTTTTGAATATCTACATTTTCGACTAGTGTGCAACCGGACCTATGCCTCTCTTTTTGACTCTAGTATGAAAGCGGACGTGTGTATCCCTGCTTTGCCCTTGAGTAAACCAGACCTTTTTTTACTCTAGTGTAAAATAGGACGTGTTTTGAACCGAGTAAACCTATATATACAGCTTTAACTCGAGTCTAAAATCGGACCTACGTCTACCTTTTTTTTTTAACCCGGCGTAAAACAGAACTTTCTATATATTGTGAATTTCGTTTTATAATGATTCGACATTAAATAACCCTGTGGTTATTATACCCCTATACAGTGGGGCGATTCTAAGAGACTTCATTAAGGGTAGCTACAATCTTAACAACATAAGATATGCAGATAACACAGTGCTGAGAACAGACACTGAAGCAACAGAGTGTAAATGTTGGTTTTGTTACCCTTGCGTAGTGATTTTCTGCAAGAAAAGTCTGTAAAAGAAGTAAATAGGCCGGCGTAGGTATCCCGCATTGAATCGAGATTCATGATGGTAGTAATGGGGGACGAATGACCAAAAAGAAGTCCGATTTCTTTTTCTTGTCGATAACTCCAAAACGGTAAGGTTTCTTCATAATTTAATTGTTAATTCGTGTTCAGCATGTACATTTGCACGGAATTATGAAGATTTTGGAAAAATTTTAAGGGATATGAGCGCATGGATAACAAAACCAATATTTACCGAACAGAGCAACATGCAAATTTGTTATATAGGAATAAAGTGTCGCTGCCCATACTTGAGTTTGAACATAGATCGCCAGTGAGCAAACACAGGCAATCCCATTATTGAATTAATTAGAACACGTGACCATACAGGAAACGCATATATAGGAGGTAGCATGTCTACATGATCGCATTTCTATTCTATCCTCTATTACTATACGGATCACTATTCCCTACACTATTCCCTATACTATTTTTCTATTCGGATCACTATACGAATTACTTGTCGAGCGAGTATTATCGAGCAAGTACTATTAGTGCGAGTGTTATTCGAAGGCATCTGACACCAGTATTGTTCAACGGCATTACTATAGGTGTATCTGTGATTACAAAGTCTCTACTACAATGAGCATTCGTTGGCATTACAAAAGTGTCAAACGATTGTTCGTTGAGTCACAAAACAATTACAAATTGGAGATGCCAAAATCAAACAAGTACAACAATTTAAATATTTTGGAAGGGCTTTAACAGAGATCGGAATATGCGATACTGAAATCCGAAGGCACACTGGGATAGCGAAAGATGCTAAGCAAAGTATTAAGAAACATTTCGTTAGAAACAAAACAAAGAGTACTGAACTGTTATGTAAAAAATCCTCCTATATGGCAGTGAATGCTGGATACTCTCCTCACAGATGAAGAAGAAACTTGAAGCAACAGAAGTGTGATTCTACAGAAGGATGCTGAGAATACCATTGACCAAACAAGTCAGCCACGAAGATGTTTTAGGGAAAACGTAAACAAAATGACAATTATACTTAACATCAGGAAGAAACAGTTGAAATTCCTAGAGCATATGACGAGGAAAGAGGGCTTGTAAAATTTGATACTCACAGGACGGATTGAAGGCAAGATGGACAAAGAAAACAACACAAAATCTACCTAGCAAGATTGGTTAATGAATGGAGGAAAATCGTTTAGGAAATATAACAAAGACACCAAATTTATTAAGAACTACAAAAAAAGGAAACTGTGGAGTGCCATAATCACCAACGCCCTGAAGAAGAAGAAGAAGAAGAAGAAGAATTGATATATTATTAAATTAAACAACCCACAAAATATAATCTAACATCGAATCTGCAATCGTGAGTCATAATTGTGACACAAGGCCGAAAGTATGGTGTACTCAGTGAGGATTGAACTCACTAATAATTCGTAATTGATCTAGCGAGACAAGCTTGTTAGCCATTACACAACGTCCAAGTATACAATGGTGATTTTTAAGAGTAGCTTAGATGTGGGACAAGGCCGAAAGTATGGGGCACCTAGTGAGTATCGAACTCACTACTCAGTCGTAATTGTTCTAGCGAGGCAAGCTTGCTAACCATTATAGCACGTCGATGTGCCTACGTCTTGATTGTAGGTGAATATTCTGTTATTGACCAACGTCAGAAAAAGTTTAATGACGTCATATTAAAGACATCTTCACTGACATGCCTTCAGGGCGACATTATCAGCTTTCCGAACGAAAAAAGTCATTTCTTTTTCATTCCTGTTTCTTTCTGTTGACAATTCCGGTGATCGTTTCGAGCTCGCATTTGCGTCTCTGCTATTCTTGAGAAATATTATGCTTTGCTTAATACAATGCTTTTTTTTTCTTCTTATAATGATGGCCTCAAAGCCACTCTATGTAGAGGGTCACAGAGCAAGAGGCAGAGTTTGTGCGCATATGTGGGGAAGATAACGGTTAACCCTACACTTGATCATGTTAATATTGTAGTGATCGGAAAAGCTTCCACTTAGGAGTCGGTTCCACAAAGCAGCGGTTCGTGGGAAGAAACTGCTCGAGTGGAACTTAGGTCTCACCAATGGAATACAAAGGGTATGAGAGCGGATCGATCCAATGTATGTGGTATGGAAGGTCTTGCTCGTGAAGGCTAGGAACATTGAAATAGATAAGAGGAAGACAGTGTTGCGACAAAATTTTTGACTGCGAGTGTTCACGTTTCCAAAGCGCTTTGACGTGGACTAATAGTAAGCAAAACTACTCTGGTTCGCTATTCCAACTACTGAGTAGTAACATCGATCCTCACTAGGTGGCGCATACAAAATTCGACATCAATAACCCCAAAACGGGTTGATCTGTCATAAAACCAACCAACCAAACATTCATGTGCCGAAAAAATCGGCATTTGAAATCTCCCCAAAGATGAAGAGACTTGAAGCAATAGAAATATGATTCTACAGAAAGATGCTGAGGATACCATGGGCCCAAAATGTGAGCAACAACGTGGTTTTGGAGATAATGGAAACTAAAAAGGAAACTTATATTTAACATCAGGAAAAAGCAGCTGAAATTTCTGGGGCACGTAATGAGGAAAAAGGGTTTAGAAAATCTGATACTCACAGGACAGAGGGAAAGAGGAACAGAGGAAAGCAGCGCGTAACATACTTGATGAGCAAATGGACGGCAGAATAGGGTTTGGGAGAAATAACAAAAAGACTAAACTTATTAAGAGTTTCAATGAACGGGAAGTTGTGGAGGGCCGTGATCGCCTACGTCCTGAAAGTACACGGTACATAAAAGAAGTAGTTAACCACAAGAGAGACTTGTTTAGCTAGTCTGTCACAAGGTTAAAGTATTGGGGCGCCTGGTGATGATCGAAGTAGTCTGCTCTACGGTAGGTACTTCCCGTGTGCTAATTTCGCTAAGTTTACTTTAGTCTGGCACAAGGCCAAACGGAGGAAGAAATAGTAAAAAAGGGTTCTAGTTTGTCAATGAGAAAGGAATCCTTACCTTAAAAGTCTGTATTCGAATGTCTATTTTGTTTAATTTGACTCTAACCCATAAAAACTGCAGGAATCACAACCCTGGCTAAAAAGGCAAGTTTATGTTAGACAGACACAAGGTCACAGTAAAATAGCACCTAGTGAGAATCGAATTCGTAACACTAGAGAAAAAAGCTTGTTAACCATCACGCTACTTTCGGCGTTCGATTTGTGGTACTCAAGATATTTCCCCGGCTTTTGTTTCGTCTTACTTTTATTCTAAGACATAGGCGATCATAGCTCTCCACAACTTCCTGTCCTTTGTAGGGCTTAGTACGGTTTGTCTTTTCATCATCCCTCTCAGTACCTGTCCTGTTACCCATTTACACAAACTTGCTGTTTCCCTCTGTCCTTCCTGTTGTGAGTGTCGAATCTTCTAAGCCTTCTTTCCACTCTACGTGTCCAAGGAATTTCAACTTTCTCTTTCTGATTCTACGTATAAGTAAACCTTTTGTTTCTGTTTTTTCTGAAAATCTTCTCGTTGCCTACACACTCCGTCCATGACATACTCATTATCCTTCTGTAGAACCATTTCTCTGTTGCCTCAAGTCTTATATTCATCCGTGAGGAAATTGCCCAACATTCACTGACATGTAGGAGGATTTATATTAAATTAGCATTTTTTCTTTGCTTCTAAAGAAAGTTATGGTCACCCACGTCACATACAAAAAGAGAGAGAATGAACCATTAAGTCATCATTTACTAAGTTTACCAGTTTGGTAGAAGGTCATAATATAAGTATGAAGCCCCAGTGAGGATCGTGCACACTATTCAGCTGTAATGCTCACTCAAACTATTTCGTTGACCATTACCTCACACAGAGGGATCCCATAGTAGTAAATGTAGCTTAGTTTTGGCATACATATATTTTGGAACTAATGTCAACGAACACTCGTTTGCCACTTTTGTGATGTCAACAAATACTCGTTATCACTTTCGTAATACTCGATGTAGCAGTGACTTTGTAATCGCAGATACAACTATAGTAACGCCGTTGAACAATACTGGTGGCAGACGCCTTCGAACAGCACTCGTACTAATAATACTTGCTCTATAATACTCGCTCGAATAGTAATCCGTATAGTGATCTGAATAGAGAAATAGTATAATGAATAGAGTAGAGAATATCGGTCCGTATAGTAATAGAGGATAAAATAGAAATAGCGATCAATCTAGACGTC